AAGAATATATATCAATTGTTCTTCTCATGTCAGTAATCAGTGAAGGTGACACTTCATCAACCTTAGTTTTCACATCTCAATATCTAGACTGTCAATTCGACTGAAACTTGAAATATTACCTATCTAGATGATATAATGATGACTCTCCATAGTAACATGCATGTGAAATTGAATGTTGACACTTTTCATCTTGTTATATTTATAGAGATGGTATCCAACAGAGTCAGTTCATAATATTAAATATTGAAACTCATTCTATATGACATGTTTGATGTATAGAACGGTTTTTTATTGAATGTAATCAATTTGAAATAATTTGATGAAATTGACACTGTCAGGTCACCATTACAAGACAAATAGACCATAGTTTACATTCCATCTCAGTCATTTCAAAGAGTTATTGATTAACTCCACCACCATTATGTTTCTCACACGCTCTAGTACAATTAATATTTCAAGAGTGAGTTCTGTGGAAGACTCTGTAAGAAATAATACCATATATATAGTAATATCAATAAACTGAATTGAAGAGTTAATTCTTCTCATTTTCAAATAGATTATTCAATATAGAACAAATCTAGATAGTTTCCAGATCATAAAAGTCAAGCTACTATATATGGTCTTTGATTAAATTTAAAAATAGACTGCCGTTGATTACTGGAATATTAATTCAAAGCTTGATGATCAAGCTATTGATTGAAAATCAAACCGATTATTGAATATTGATCATTGAATTGGTGAATAATCACTCTTGATAATGATACATATTGAAGATTGATGCAAATCAACGTGATTCAATCTACAAAGGTTGGTAGTTGCACCACTACGTGGCGAAACTACCCATTCCACGATGAATCAACATGTGATTCACTTCCATGCAACTCAATTTGACCGTTATAATCAATAAATCAATGAAATGTTACTTTATTAGCAATACCTATTCAATCTAATGAGTAGATTCACGTCCCAAACATTTGACTTCTCAAAGTCCATATTTCAAAAGTTAGTACTGACCTGACCTTTATATATCTATCAATATAAGAAATGAAACCATCAAATTTACATCATTAATAGATGATAAGAAATATAATCAATGATATGAATCTTCACTAAGTAATCTCTTAAATAACCCAAATAAATCAACTCTGAATCCTAACCAAACCCTTATTCAACATTCATTAGAAGAAGATAGATTCCCAGTGATATATTCTCTCTCTTTACAATTTATTATTTCAATATCTGACAAATTAATTGAGATAGAAGGTATTTCATCAGCTCATATCAAAATAGCTGGAGTTGAACTACCTTGAAAAAGAAGTCTGGAAATTTGGAAGAGTTGAAAGAAAATCCAGAGAAAAACTTCACGCTCTTGTTCATTCAACTCCAAAGTCTTATATTCAACAAGCACCAACTTTTCTCTTCAACTTACAACAATTTATTAAACCAACATCCTCACAGAAATACTACCTTGACTTTGTGTAGAAGTTGTATTGGCTGATTCCTGATATGAATTCTTTGATGGTAGAGAAATCATTTGAGCACGAACAGTCATTTCTACATCATCTGAAGAATTATCCTTCTCCTCCTGTGGTCTAGTTTTTCTTCTTCTTCCACAACAGCAACAAACACACGAACCCCTACGATAAATAACACCAGCAACTAGTGCAATGAAGAAGCAAGTAATCGAAATAAAACAGGTTCCACCAATGACTGTTGAAATAATAATGATATCCTGAGTGGTGAGATAGGTCGTATTGGCAGCTTGGAATGTTCTAAGGGAAGTATTTTTCACAACAATCACATTAGAAATGAATAAATCTGAGAATACACAATTACAATCAGTAGTTGAAGTAGCATTATTATAACCAGAAATTGAACATGAGGAGTAATCATTTCCTAGATCAGATTGAACTCTAACACATGAATAGGAAGAAATATCAAAGATGCCATAATCATCTTTAGAAACACGAATGTGGAATGTAACATTTTGTCTCAAACCAACAGCTGTTGTGTTGGATTGAATAGAGAAACTTGTACTAACTGGAGAAACAACTACTATTGTGGAATTTTCATCCTGTTGATTAATTAACTTTTGTACAATAATTGGAATGTTTTCCTTAACCACAACTGAATAAGTTGCAGAACCAAATGGATTACTATCACTAACAAGAATATCTGGCATGGTGATATTAACAATGTTTGCTTGGTATTTTCCGTCTGTTGAGGATGGTGAGCCAATCACTGATTGAGAAAGATATTTAACATATTCCTTATCTGCCTTTACAATGGAAACACCACTGTTTAATACTACAGCACTTGCACTTACTGGTTCTCCTTTTACAATTGTGAGAGCAAGTTTTTCAGTGAGAGCAGAAATTTCTTCGTCTCTTGCAAATTGATCTTTCAGGTTTGTAATATTTTCAGAGGCATAGACTAGATTTTCAACAACTGACATGAAAGTTTGAGTTGTCTGAGGTGGAACACCAACATTAGTTCTGAAATTTTGTTCCACAATATTCTCAAGAGCATTCACTGATTTTTCAATGACAACTTGCCCAATATTTTGCTCATTCTTTAACATGGTGTGAATAGCATAGACAATCATTGATGAGGTTGACTCTGAGATTGTTTCTTCTGAAGTAGTTTCAGTTGCATTGGCCAATATATCTAATAAAGTTGTTTGAATATTAGTAATGGTAGTGGCACTCTTCTCAGATTCAGGTAAAGTTTGTAACATTTGATTAGTTGAAACTATGGTATTAATTGTTTGTGAAATACTTTGACTCGAATCACCATCTTTAACAAAGGATGACATGATTGTATTGGTTTGGGTTGTAACTTGCTGAACAATCTGTGTAATTGAAGTCACCACAACACGCATCACAGTAACATGGTAATACATAATTCTGAATTCACCTGTTTGAGTATCAGTTAATTCAACGAATATTTTGACAGTTGTTGAATTACTGGTAGAGGAACTAGATGATGGCAGTTTCATTGTTTTTTCTTGAGTGAGAGGAATATAAATCATGATGCCTGTATCAACATCAATATAACCTTGTTTGATTTGAATGGTATTTTGTTGATTTTGACAATTTTGACATGTGAGTGTGAAATCTGTTTGCATGGAAATACCTTCAGAAGGTGAAACAGTACATGGACATTTTTGTGGTTGAGCTGCCTTTGTGAAACTGTTAGAACTTTCAGTGGAGGCAATTTCAATTTCAGAGCTTTCACTCTTTTGGACATAGGAAGCCTTAAATTGAATGGCATGTGCAACTCCTTCTTCTAATTGTTTGGAGTTTACAATAATTGCACTTTGTTCATTCTTATTTACAACTTGAATGTTTTCTGAAGTTGGTGAAATAGTAGTAATTGTGGTTAAAGAATTTGAAGCATAGGATTTGCTTGTGAAACTTTCTGAAACAACACCATTGTCAATCTTCCATTGAGACTTGACAGAAACTGAAGAATCAGTTAAATCTTGGTTTGAATGTTGAACTTCAATAGAAATTCGACCATTGCTATTGATAATTGAGTTGGAAGTTGGTTCGACTGCAATGTAAGTTACCATTGGAGGTGAATGAACAATATTCAAAGTAATTGAGCTTGATGTTTGTCTTTCACCTTTTGTAATTGTCAAAGTCAGCTTTGGTTTTGTAAGAGTTAGTGTTGAAAAGTCTTCTTGATTGAAAATTACAATAGAGGAGTGATTCTTTGAGTATAGAGACATCTTATCAAGAATTCCATCACCACAATACCCATTAGTTTCAGAGTTAATACACGTCCATTTCCAAACTTCCTTTTCGTCTACATTATTTTCAGGGTCTTCACTAGAGACTTGAATAACGTTTCTCATAGATGAAGTTTCTTTTAAAGAGAGAGAAAGTGAAAGATCTGGTTGATAGGTATTAATTATAGCAAAGTCACTAATTGTAGAAGTTTGATTGGCCACAATAATGGTTACCTTAAAGACATATTTCACTTTTCCAGAAGCAAACTTTTCAATAATCAAATTTTGATAAGAATCTTTGTGATACCTGATGGATGGTCCTTCAATTTGCTCCCAATCAACATTGATTGCTTGATCTTTCAAATAGGTTGGCAAATAGGTAACCTTCTTAATAGAAACCAACTTATCAGTTGACTTGAAAGTATTTTGCTTTTCACCAGAAATTAGCACAGAGGCCATTTCAACATCTTGAACTTGGAATGCAATTGTTTCAATAGAACTGTATTGGGCTGATATTTGACTCTTTACCTTCAAAATCAATGTATAAACTCCCTTAATTAATGAACCTTTTTGAATCGTAATGGTTGACAGCTTATTTGATCTAATATTGTTCAAAACTGTAGATGAAATTGAGTCACCTTGAATATCCCAAATATATTCCAATTCCTTCTTATCTCCAGAATAACTGTTCGAACCACTAAATATTATATCTTCATAATAACTAAATAATTTCTTTGAGGATGTAACTTGGGCAACTGGTGGCTTGACTGTTTGTGAAATGATAAAGTAAATTCTAATGTAAATTTCAATAATGGTGGTAGTAATCTTTGAGAATGCATATTTGTTAACTCTAATATTACTTGATGCTGTTAAACTAAAATCATAATCGAATTGAATCTTAAAATTACCATTTGCCTTATCAGTCCAGAAACATTTTGGCTCTGTACCAAGCAATTGCAAATCATCAGCGTGAATCAATTTGGAGCATGGAACTGTATTTGCCGTGTATGAAGGTGGAGCAAATAATTTGAGGGTAACTCCATCAAATAGTTCATTAATTTGAGCGTAAATTTCATTAATATAGGTAGAGTTGAATGATCCAAAGTATGTTGCACAATCACTTCCAAAGTAGCCATTCATACAATCATTACAAGAAATTCCATTCCAGTAGCCATTATCTCTATCTTGATAGCAAGAGCATTTACCAGTAATATCACAATTACCATGACCATTACAAGTTGTTTGACCATTACAATATATATCACAATTTGGCCCATAGTAATTAGTCTTACACTTTTCACAAATAAATCCATCAAAATTACCTGTACAAACACAAGTATTGTTGCTTCCACAAGATCCACCATTCAAACAAGTTGAGACGGTACAAGATCTCTCAGTACATGTTGGACCAGTGTAGGCAGGATGACATGTATTACAATCAGATCCATAATAATGACCATTTACATCATCATTAACACATGAACAAGTATTGACATCTACACATTGACCATGTCCTGAACAAACATTAGAGCTACTCTTTGAAATAGAATTACAATCAAATTGATCACACTTTTCACCATAGTATCCTGAATTACATATGCATCCTGCTACGCCACTTGTAGAATTGATAAAACATTTACCATGATTTGAACAAACTCTAAAATCAGTACTTGAGTAATAATCTTCAACGCCATTATAAATACCTCTACAGAGTAAGTTTTCACAAGAATCGCCTGTAATCTTGACTCCAGAAATTGACAAGCAGGAACACTTATCAATATCTAAACAAGTACCTCTTCCTGAACAAACCTTTGCATCTGTAGAAGAAATGCCATAACAAGTTTTATCTTGACAGGCTTGACCTCCGTATCCGAACTGACATGTGCATTTTCCATCACTGGAACATTTACCCTTTCCACTGCAAACAGTTGGATCATCTTGTCTCTTTCCATTGCAACTTGTAATATTGCATTTATATCCAAAGAATCCATTTGAGCATTTACATAAATCATTTCCAATACATTCACCATTTCCTGAACAAACTACCTTAGTTTCCAAACTGGAAATACCAAAACAGTCGAAACTCAAAGTGGTTGTAATTTCTTGCACTGTGGTGATATTTCTAATGACAAGCAAATTATCAATAGCGAGCTCAGTAAATTGGCAATTACATTTCACAGTAGAAGTTTGCTCATCATAACTTGCAGTACATTGCTTACCATTCAACGACATATCAGATTCTACACCAACACAAGAATATGTGTAAGTAATATTGGTTTGTGGTGGTAATAATGGTAGTTCTTCTACTGACATTTCAACGGTAACATTCTTTGAACTCAATTCATCCAAAATTTGACTTGTAACGGTTGTCACATTTTCAACAATGGAGAAGCTTGTACTCACAGAGGACACAACTTCAACAGTGGTGGTAGTGGTAAGTGAGGTTTTAATATTTTGAACAATTGTTGTTACAGAGCTGGAAATTGTGGAATCGACAAGCATTGCAGTATTTTCCTCTATTGTCACAGAATAGGTCATTGATGTGAAGTGATTATCTTTAGACATAGATTCAATAGCTGGAATGCTGATATTTACAGAAACATCATTTCCAGAAGTGGAAATTGTAGAGTTTGAAAAGTCTGTCAAGTAAACCTTGTCAACTACGACAGTTAAGGTTGATGTCTGTAAAATAACAGGATCTGCACTCACAGGTTGTTCAATTACAATGGAGGTAGCAAGATTTTTTGTAAGAGATGAAACCTTCTCCAAGCTATTGAACTGGGTATTAGTGTTTGTAATATTTTCAATGTTTGTGTAGAGAGTTTCAATAACAGTCAGGAAAGTTTTAGTCGTTTCTGTTGTTATTTCTACTTGACTCTTTGTAGCTTGTTCAATTGTATTATCCAAAATGGAAATTGATTTATCAATCACGACTGGGTCAAGATTTACTTCATTCTTTACGATTGATTGAGCAGCATAGACAACCAATGATGTAGTAGTTGCTGTGATAGTTTCAGATATTGTTTCTGTTACAGTTTCCAAAGTATTTAAAAGATTAGTTTGAATATTTGTAACTAAAGTTGAGCGCTTAGCAGCTTCAGGTAAAGTTTGCAACATTTGATTGATTGAAACTATGGTATTAACAGTTTGTGAAATACCTTGACTAGAATCACCATCTCTATTGAAATTAGAAATAATTTCACTTGTTTGATTTCTGACTTGTTGAATAACATCAGTCATTGAAGTGGCTTCAACAGTAGCAACAGTAACATTAGTGTACATCATCCTAGATTCTCCTGTCTTTGTATCAGTTAATTCAATAAACAAGGTCATGGTTTCATTTCTTTGAGTAGTCAATTGAGAATCTGTAGAAACCAATGCAGGAATTCTCATCACATTGTCTTCATTGAGTGGAACTGGAATTTTAGTATTTGTTTCCTTATCAATATAACCTTGTGTAATTTCAATACTGTTTTGTTCGTTTTGACAATTTTGACATGTGAGTGTGAAATCAGTTTGCATGGAAACACCATTCGAAGGTGAAACAAAACATGGACATTTTTGTGGTTGAGTTGCCTTTGCGAAATTTGTTGAACTTTCAGTTGACGCAATTTCAATTACTTCTGGAGAGCCATCAATCAAGTTGGATTCATTCTTTTGGATATACGAAACTTTCAATTGAATGGAGTGGTCAACTAATTCTTCTAAACCTGCTGCATTAATGATAATTGCACTTTGCTCATTCTTATTCACAACTTGAATGCTGCTGGACGCTGAGGTCACGGTAGTGGTTGTGGTAATTTGAGAAGTTGTGGTCGATTGCAATGTTGAGGTTTCACTTTGTGAAATTCCAGTTTCGTCAACTTTCCATTCAGTTTTTACAGAAATGGTAGTATCTGTCAAATCTTGTGAAGATTTTTGAACTTCAATTGAAATCTTATCATTACTATTGACAACTTTTGTTGCTACTGGCGAAATTCCAATAATACTAAGAATTGGAGGAGGATGAACAATATTCAAAGTAATGGAACATGAAGCCTTTCTTTCTCCTTTTGTAATTGTTAAAGTCAACTTTGGTTTTGTAAGAGTTAGAATTGAAAAGTCAGTATAGTTTGCATTTACTACAGCAGCACGATTCTTAGAGTAGAGAGCTAACTTATCTGTAATACCATCACCACAATAACCATCTGTTTCAGAATTAATACACGACCATTGCCATAACTCAGTTTCGTCTGTGTTGTTTTCTGGATCTTGATAATTGACTTGAATTGTTGATGAATAATTAGTCACACTCTTCAATGAAAGATAAAGTGAGAGTTCAGGTTGTTCAGTGTTAATTATCACATAATCACTTGATGATAAACTTGAATTTTGTGCAGCTGTAATAGTAATCTTGAAAACGAATTTCCACTTTCCCTTTATGAAACTGTCAATGATCAAATTATTGTAAGCGTCCTTCTTGAAAGAAAGGGATGGACCTTCAAGTTGTTCCCACTCAATGCTCACAGATGAACCACTTATATAATCTGGAATGGTTGTTGTCTTTTTCACAAGTACCAACTTTTCAGTTGACTTGTAAGTTGTTTCCTTATTTCCTGATACAGACACTGAAGGAACGGCATATCCCTGAATTTGGAAACTGAAACTTTCTTTTGAACTCACTTCATTAGTAACCTTACTTCTCACAATTAATAAAACCTTATAAACTCCAGGAAGTAAATAACCCTTATCAATCTTAATAGATGGTAACTTGTTTGCTTGAACCTTGTTTTTAACAATTGCTGGAATGTTATTTCCTTGAATATCCCAAGTATAATCCAATTCCTTCTTATCTCCAGAATAACTGTTAGTACCACTAAATGCCAAATCCTCGGTTGTGGAATAAACTTTCTTTGTGGATTTAACTTTGGCTACTGGAGGTATTACAGTCTTGGAAAGAATAAAGAAAACGGATATGTAATATTCATTGAGAATGGTTGTAGTCGTTGAGAAAATGTAACTATTCAATCTGAAACTGTTACTGCCAGATGACAAATCAAAATCATTATCGAAATCAAATTGAATGGTAAAGATACCATTTGCCTTATCGGTCCAGAAACATTTAGGTTCTGATCCAAATAATGAAAAATCATCTGGATGAATAAGTTTCGAACATGTGACCGTATTTGCAGTATAAGTAGACGGAGCAATCAACTTGAATGTAATTGCGTCATAGTAATCAGAAACCTGAGCATAAATATTATCAACTAGAGTTGAATTGTAAGAACCAACATAGGTCAAACACTTAGTTCCATAATAATTATTTCTACAATAGGCGCATGAAGTTCCATTCCAGTAACCATTGGAGGTATCTACATAACATGAACACTTGCCAGCACTTGTGCAACTCCCATGACTATTACAAAATGTTTTAGGATTACAATAAATATCACAATTAGATCCGTATTGATAGGTTTTACAACTTTCACAAAGTAGTCCAGTAAAGTTTCCAACACAATTACAAATATTATTGACACATGTTCCTCCATGTAAACAGGTGGAATTGTTGCAATATCTTGTCAAACAATTTGCACCAGAGTATGCAGGATGACATGAGCTACATGTTGATCCAGAATAGAAACCTTTAGTGCTATTACTATAACATGAACAACTGTTAATTCCAGTGCAAGAACCATGTCCAGAACAAACATTTGTATCATTGTTGGCTAATCCATAACAATTGAATGCTCCACAGTATGTTCCGTAATATCCTGAATTACATTGACATTTACCTTCAAGAGTTGTTGCATTAATTACACACTTTCCGTGATTTGAACAAGCTCTATAATCAGTGGTAGCGAAATAATCTTCAACACCATTGTAAACTCCTCTGCAAAGTAAGTTTTCACATGTACTTCCTGTAATCTTGACATTGGTGTTATTAAATACATAACATTGACATTTGTCAACATCAACACAAACACCTCTTCCTGAGCAAACATTTGGATCCAAAGATGTTTTACCAAAGCATGTTTTAACTTGACAATCTTTACCTCCATATCCATAAGAGCATTGACAATGACCATCTTCAAAACATTTTCCTTTTCCACTGCAAACAGTTGGATTATCTTGTCTCTTTCCATTGCAACTTGTAACATTACATTTAGATCCAAAGAATCCATTTGAGCATTTACATAAATCATTTCCAATACATTCACCTTTTCCTGAACAAACAACTGTATCCTCAAGGCTTGAAATACCAAAACATGTGTATTCTTCCATTTCTACTACTTCTTCAATTATGGTTGTTACATTTCTAACAACTACAAGATTTGAAATTTGGAGTTGATTAAAAATACAATTACACTTGACACTTGAAGTTGATTCATCATATTCTGCAGTACAATTGTGTGATTCGAGTGACATATTTCCTGTGTTTACACCCATACATGAATAAGAAGAAGAGAATTCAATGAAATCTCCAGAGTCAACCAACATTTCAATTGACACATTTTGAGAACTCATCAATTGGTTTGCTACTGAACTTTCTGATGTTTCCATGATTGAGAATGATGTAATGACAGGAGAAGCAATTTGTAATGTGGTGGTGTTTGTAATATTTGTAAGAATTTGTTGCAAAATAGTTGAAGAATATTCCTCAACAACCATAGAGTAAGTTATTTCAACATATTCCGTTTCCATAGTTATAAATGATGGAAGGCTGATATTCACAAGAATAGTTTTGTTTACACTTTCCATTTCTGTGGTTATGGATGAAATGACAGAGTCTGAGAGATCGGTAAAATAAATCTTGTCAACTTGGATAGATAAAGAAGAAGTTTGTAAAACAATTGGATCAGCACTCACTGTTTGCTCCTTAACAATTGAATAAGCTAGGTTTTCAGTCACATTAACCAATTGATCATAAATATTGAGTTGTTCAAGGGTTGATGTAATATTTTCAACACTACTTTGCAAATTCTCAACAATTGACATTACAGTTTGACTTGTTTCAGTTGAAATTTGAAGATTACTCTTCACTGCTTGATCAACTACTTCATTCAAAATAGAAATTGATTTATCAGTAACTACTGGAACAATAATTTCATCGCTCTTAATCACAGAATAAACAGCATAAACAACCATTGATGAAGTTGACTCAATTGAGGTTTCCACTCTTGTAGTTTCCACAGCACTTGCAAGTGTACTAAGAAGTTGAGTTTGAATTTTAGTAATTGTTTCAGAATCTTGATGTTGAACTTGTGGTAAACTTTGCAACAATTGACTTGTTGAAACGATTGTATTAACAGTTTGTGAAATACTTTCAATTGGATTACCATCTTGAATGATAGCTGAAATGATTTCGGTTGTTTGATTGGAGACCTGTTGCCAAATCTCTTCGGTTGTGTTTACCACAACTGTTGTCACTGTTATATTTGTATACATGGTTCTTGATTCTCCAGATTCTGTATCAGTCAATTCAACAAACCATTTAACAGGTGCAGCTTGTGGAGTATTTGAACTAGAGGATACCACAGCAGGGATTTTAACAGTATCCTCCTCTGAGATTGGTACTTGAATTTTGATTCCAGTTTCACTATCCACATATCCTTGGGTGATTTCGATGGTATTTTGTTCATTTTGACAATTGACACATGAAACTTTGAATTCTGTTTCCATAGAAACACCATTAGAAGGTGTAATGCTACATGGACATTTTTGTGGTTGAGTTGCCTTTGTAATTGTTGTTGAACTTTCGGTAGAAGCAATTTCAATTTCTTCTGGAATACCATTAACAATATTAGATTCATTAGTTTGAACATACGAAACTTTCAATGCAATAGTTTTTTCAGTTCCTTCATCAAACTCCCTGGCATCAATAATAATAGCGCTTTGTGTATTCTTACTAACAACTTGAACATAACTTGAAGTTGATAACATTGTTGTGGTTGTTGAAAAAGAATCTGTTGATTCTATTCTTGTAGTTTCACTCTCAGAAACAATGGAAGTGTCAATCTTCCATTCAGTTTTAATAGAAAGTGATGAATCTGATAAATCCTGTTTTGAGTGAGAGACTTCAATGGAAAACTTCTCATCACTATTGACAACAGATTTAAAGTCTGGAGAAATGTCAATAATATTGAGAATTGGAGGTAAATGAACAATATTCAAAGTAATGGAACATGAAGCCTTTCTTTCTCCTTTTCTAATGCTTAGAGTAAAAGTTGGTTTCTGTAAAGTTGATAAGGAAAAGTCAGATTTGTCAACTATGAAGAGAGTTGAATGGTTCTTGGAATGGAAAGACATTTTGTCTACAACACCATCTCCACAATAACCATCTGTTTCAGAATTAATACACGACCATTGCCATAATTCAGTTTCGTCTGTGTTGTTTTCTGGATCTTGATAATTGACTTGAATTGTTGATGAATAATTAGTCACACTCTTCAATGAAAGATAAAGTGAGAGTTCAGGTTGTTCAGTGTTAATTATCACATAATCACTTGATGATAAACTTGAATTTTTTTCTGGAGTAATTGAAATTTTGAAAACATATTTAAAAGCTCCCTTAGTGAAACTTTCAATAATCAAATTATTGTAAATATCCTTCTTAAAATCAACATTCGGACCTTCAATTTGTTGCCATTCAATATTCATAGTTTCATTCTTCAAATAATCTGGAATTGTAGTTGTCTTTTTGATATGAACCGGCTTTTCAGTTGACTTTTGCCTAATTTTCTTACTTCCGTAAATACTAACTGAAGGAACTTGATATTCTAGAATTTGTAATGTGAAAATATTAATCAAACTCACTTCACTAGTTACTGTACTTCTCACAACTAGTGTCAACTTATAAATTCCCAATTTTAGCAAACCCTTATCAATCTTAATGGTTGCTTGCTTGTTGGATTTTATGAAATTTTCAACAGTAGAATTGATAGAGTTTCCCTCAATGCTCCAAGTATAATCCAGTTCTTTCCTATCTCCAGAGAAGGAGTCTGATCCACTAAATATCATATCTTCTGTTTCACTATAAATTCTTTTTGATGACTTCACATCAGCAACTGGACTTTTTACAGTATTTGGAGGCATTAAATAAATAATAGTGTCATCTACGATGGTTCTTGTAGAAAAAGCTCCAAGTTTGTTCAATCTTCTTGTAAGTGTAGTAAATAGATTTCTGTTCACTCTAAAATGGTTTCCTATGACTGACGAAGAGTTTAGAGTAAAATCATAATCGAATTGAATCTTGAAATCACCATTTTCCTTATCAATCCAGAAACATTTAGGTTCTGTGCCGAATAATGGTTGATCATCGATGTAAATGAGTTTTGAACATGGAACAGTGTTTGGTAAATAGGAAGGTGGAGCAAATAGCTTAAATATCACACCATCAAAGAAATCAGTAACTTGAGAATAAATTTCATTGACATAGGTAGAGTTGAATGATTCAAAATGGGCAAAACAATCGCTTCCAAAGTAACCATTTTGGCATGAGCTGCATGAGCTACCATTCCAGTAACCATTCTTGGTATCTGAGAAACAAATACATTGGCCATCGGATCCACATTGGCCATGTCCATTACATGTTGATTGACTATTACAATAGACATTACATTGTGATCCATAACTATTGGATTTACAAGTTTCACAAATCAATCCAGTAAAGTTTCCAATACAATCACAACTATTATCAGTTCCACAAGACCCACCATTCATACAAGTTGAACCAGTACATGTTTTAACATTACAATTTGCACCAGTATATGCAGGATGGCAAGTGTTACAATCAGATCCAGAATAGAAACCATTAGTACTATCACTATAACATGAGCAGGTGTTAATTCCAACACAATCACCATGTCCTGAGCAAACATGTGAGTTATTCTTGGCAATTGAGTTGCAATTAAACATTTCACACTTGTCTCCGTAATATCCCGCAGCACAGGAACATCCTCCTGTTGAACAGTTACCGTGCTTTGAGCAAACTCTAAAATCATTGCTTGAATAAAAATCTTCAACGCCATTGTAAACTCCTTTGCAAAGTAAGTTTTCACATTCATCACCAGTAATCTTTACACTGATGCCATTTGATGAAAAACATTGACACGTGTCAATATCAACACAAACACCTCTTCCTGAGCAAACATTTGGATCCAAAGATGTTTTACCAAAGCATGTTTTAACTTGACAATCTTGACCTCCATATCCATAAGAGCATTGACAATGTCCATCTTCAAAACATTTTCCCTTTCCACTGCAAACAGTTGGATTATCTTGTCTCTTTCCATTGCAACTTGTAACATTACATTTAGATCCAAAGAATCCATTTGAGCATTTACATAAATCATTTCCAATACATTCACCTTTTCCTGAACAAACTACTGTATCCTCAAGGCTTGAAATTCCAAAGCATTCATAAGTTTGGACTATAACAGCAGTATTCAATGAACAGTCTGCTCCAAAGTATCCAGCTGTACAATTACAATTATTTAATGAAGGACAATCACCATGTCCACTACAGACCTGTGATGAATTATATTGAACTCCAGCACATGTGTGGAATTCACATTCAATTCCAAAATATCCGGCATTACATGTACATTTATCCACTTGAGAGCAATTACCACGATTTAAACAAGCGCCATTTAGACCTTTTCCAAAACAAATTGGTGATGAACAATCTGCACCTGCCCAATTTTGATTACATGTACAATTGTTTGGAGAGTTACATTGACCATGTGAGGAACAAACTAGTGATGAGTTTGAAAGAATATTGAAACATTTAGGGAGAGCACACCAATCTCCTCCATACATAGCGTTGCATTGGCAAATACCACCCACACAAGTACCATTAGATGAACATACTGATGGGTCATCCTTTGAAATGCCATTACATTTGAGTAGTTGACATTGGTTTCCTTCATAATTAGGAGAACAGGAACATGTATCAACACCAGAACATACCCCCCAGAACAAACTGATGTTTCGTTTGACAAAATTCCAAAACAGTTTGGATATTGACATTGTGAGCCTCCAAAGTTTGAGTTACATTGACATGAATCCAATCCAACACATGAACCATGGGAATTGCAAACAGATGAATTGTTTTGTAAAGTTCCATAACAAGTTGTAATTGAACAATTAGATCCATAATAATTTGAAGAGCAAGTACAAGAGTTGTAATCAACACATGAACCATGCTCAGAACAAACTGATGTTTCGTTTGACAAAATTCCAAAACAATATGGATATTGACATTGTGAGCCTCCATAGTTTGAGTTACATTGACAGGAGTCCAATCCAACACATGAACCATGGGAATTGCAAACAGATGAATAGTTTTGTAAAGTTCCATAACAAGTTGTAATTGAACAATTAGATCCATAATAATTTGAAGAGCATGAGCACGAATTATAATCCATACAAGTACCATGTCCTGAACAAACACTAGAATTGGTTTTTGCTACATAGTAACAATCAAAAATTTCACAGTTAAATCCATAGTAATTTAAGGAGCATGAACAAGTATTAAATGTTGAACATGCACCATGTCCTGAACAAACCTGACTTGAATTAGAATAGACTCCATTACATGTTGTTACTGAGCAATTGGCTCCATAATAATTCGATGAGCAGCTACAGGAATTATATGCTGTGCAAGTGCCCTGATTAGAACAACCAGTAGTAACAGAGTTTGAATATCCATTACATGTCCAAGAAGAACAATTTGAATTAGAATAACCAGTTGCACAGGTGCATGTGTTAATGGCTGTGCAGGTACCATGGGAATTGCAAACTGAAATGTCATCAGATCTTTTGGAGTAACAATAGGGTAGATTACAATAACTTCCACCATAATTTGCATCACACGTCATGTAAATTTTTCTGAGTTCATCACTTTCTGCAATTAACATCAAGTTGTTATCGCTGGCAAAAGTCAAACCTACAAGTGTATTGAACTTGGTATTAGCCAGAGTTTCTCCATCATTATATGTTCCAGCACTATTACCAGCATATGACGTTATTGTACCAGTGTTAGCATTGGCAGTTGCAGGTGTGAAAAGTTTAAGAGCACCACTCTCAGTGTAGTATACATTACCGTTGTCGTTTACATAAAAGTCTTTGATGGTTACAGAAGAGGTCTTAATTAAGTTAGTTTAACTAGTTCAATAAAACTTACAGTAAAACGTGTTGCGACTGTTGAAGCAGTGAAAACTTTGAGATAAAACGTTGAACCGATTTGTTGAAAGTAATATATCTTTCCATCTGACGGTCTTATTGTAAAAGAAACTAAAAGAATTAAATGAAAAGAGAATATCAGATAACTTACATAGTGTTGCAATATTTGCTGATGATGATGCACCATCAGAAGTGGAGGCACCCCCTCCCAAAACAACTACAATCTTTCCAGTTGATGAGCTGATTTTGTAAATATAGTTGTCTGATGCAAAATAGATCTCACCATTGTAATATTGTAAATTTTTGGCATTCTAGAATAAAATTGGATATTCATTTCAAAGCAATAGAGAAAAAATACTTACAGTAATAGTACAAGCAGTTGGAGTGTTTCCATTAACACAATCTGATCCAGAAGCTGCGCCAGCTACTATTGTAACTAAACCCGTGCTCTTTGACAGTAATTTGAGAAAAAATCCAGGTGAATAATTATCGACTATTATCAATTAATTTTGCATGAAAATTCGTATAATACTTACTCATATAGATATCTCCTGTTGGAGTGCATGTCATAGATAGAATGTTAGAATATCTAGCAGTCACGTAAGAACCTCCAATATTGTCAGATCCACTTGGGGCTTTGTTGTTATATGGAAGATAAAAATATCCTGCATAATGCTTAATTGTTGAACTTGTTAAATTGTAAAACTTAATACTGTTTGTGTCAGCCAAATAAAATCCATCACTGTATAAAGCAATTGCGCTTGGAACCAATTGAAGAGTTTTGGCATTTCTTTCATTTAATACATTTCTATAATGTAAAAATGATGACAACGTAGTTCCAACAAGTTTCCTAATGTTGTAATTATTTTCAGCAAAGTAAAGATCACCATTAGTCGGATTAATAGTAAAGTATTCAATGTAACCAATTATTGAGGATGATGTAACGGTTCCATCTGCTGACTCACCTCTATATCCGTTACCCAAAACCTGCTGCACAATTCCACCAGTTGTTAGCTTTCTAATGCTATAATCATATGCATTCCAATAAAGCTCATTATTATAACAATCCATCTTGGTCACAAAGTTGGTTCCATCCATTAGATAGGAAGTTCCAGAAATACCTGTACTTTTTGAAGAACCACCTCCAACCGCAGTGTTAGCATAAACTGTTCCACCACTTTCCGTCAATTTTTGAATATAGAAATTAACGTTATCATTTACATAAGCATATAGGCCTCCATTACAATATTTAATTTGATTTGTATAACCCAATAAACCAGATTTGTAAACACTAGCTACATTGGTATTTCCATCAATTTTTCTAATAAGCCAATTGGCTTTTCCAATGTCAAGTAACTCAAAGAATTAACACTTACAATAATCTGCAAAATAAATATTATCTGAAGGATCTACAGTTATTGATAAAGAAGAACCACTTTGAACCAAGAGAGGATTTGTAACAGTATTGTCAGAGTTTCCATATCCTGCACTAAAAATTACCGAAACTTGATTAGTGGATGAATCCAATTTTCTAATTCTCATATTTGCATCAATCCAAATTAAGTGTGTTTTCCATCGTGTTAAGCTTTTTGGAGTATGGGTTTGAGTGGTTGTGGGATCAGTTGTGTATGTTGTTCCAGGTGTTCCACTTCCAACCTTTACATAAAATTAACCATTAAAAACTTCTAGAAAACCTACAACTGTTGAAATAATACCCGATGAAAGAGTAATCTTTCTAATTTTTGCTGTCTCGGTCGTGTACAATACTCCAGCCGTAGCATCTAAATAAATATTTCCAGGATTTATGTAAATACTTGAGATTGCTACATTGTTCAAATCACTTGACATTCCTCCAATTACCATAGATTTGTAGGTTCCTGTACATTCCACATACGCATTATTACTAATATTCAAAATAATTATCAAAACACTAAGCAATAAGGCTATGCATGTGATTTCATTCTTTGGTGCTGTTGAATAAAAGCACCACATGTTGTGTTATTTTTTTGTTAGAGAGGAACCTCACTGGTATTATGTTTGGTTGATCTGTAAACTGACCGAACAATTGTTGTTGACATTCTTGCTAACAAGCTCCTTTTAAAAAGTTTTTTCCTCTTCAAATCATTCCGTAGTGATTGTAACACAACTATTTTACAGAACAGTGTTGATACCGTAAACAAGGACCTACTACCAAAAAGTAAGCGAGAAAATGAATAAGGTAATAAATAAGGGTCAATGTTCTTTCAAGCAAACAGTTTTCAGGTTTTGGAATAGTTCTGCTGATGATATGTACAGTCCAATTCCTCAATTCCGCTACTAAAAAGAAGCCACTATTGCTGCACGCGGCGAAATGTAAACCCTCTGTGTGGGTGCGATACATCTCAAATTATTGTGGGGTTGGCTTCTAGACTCGGAGATGAATCCACTTTTTGTTGCGTTCTTTGTTGTTGTGGTCTATTAATGAATTAAATATTCCCACACAAGAAAATCAACTTGTGTGATCCTTTACATGATGAGTTCAACTTGGAATATTTTTTAAAATTATGCTGTTTGTACCTTTTCATGAATCACTCAAAACAACATGCATGAAAAAATATTCAACATTCTTCAACTCTGTGGACATGATGATTTTCAGAGTGGTTTCACATGATGAAACTCCAACAATTTTACCATGTCATCTCAACATTATCTATATAGTAGTAATAGTAGTAATTTTTATTGGTGGATTATCATCATGAAATTGGAAGTTATTTTTCATCAATGGAAAATCACAAGTTGGTGCTCCTTCATCCGATCATTCATCAACCATCAGCAGTATTGTTTTCTATCAATACAATAATAGTATTTGTGGAAATTAATTTTTAGTAATTTAAATTTGGTGAAAGCTCAGAATTTTCACTAAATTCATCATCACTGCGGAATCTACTGGACAAGTTGGAAAACTGTCAATGTAGTATTGTTCGGAATGGTCAATAGTAGGTAGGAGAACTTTCTCTTATCAATTTTGGTCAAGTTATGATAGGGATAGGTACATGTGAATTTTTAAAAGTACATGGACCATAACTCAACATGTACTTCACCAACTTGAATCATGTCTTTAGTACTACTATTTAAATAGATGATACACATCATATTTATTATCAGATTTTCATCATGTTGTCAATTTACCAAGTTCCGATATTTGATGCTACCATAGTTGATTCATGGCCCGATTACAAATCAAACGACAATAACACAACAATTCATATTGTCTATCATATTATTAAATGTATAATTTCTAGTCTTGTATCATAATTTGTGAAAATCATGGATATCTGATATTTTAGTGATGTGATGGAAATTGTTGACTCTAAAACATTACGAGAACATATCATTCTCGCTACACTGTTTCAACATTGATTCCTTCCATAATTTTCACTATTGGATATTTTACTTTTCTATTAATCATTCTTTTGATACATGACAGCATATTCATTTTGTTTGACAGCTTCCCCAACAACCTCAGAATCATTTTCCAATGTTTTAGAGGCAAACCGAATTGCAAGACCTTGCTGTCTAACAGCACAAAGTACAACTTCTCTATCATTGGTCAAATTATAACTGGCATACTGGAGTGAAAGTCCATTTTGATTAACAGCAGTCAGCACAACCTCTCTATCTTCTAGAAATCTAATTCCAGCTCCATAAAGCGATTTTCCATTCACCTTAACAGCTTCTATCACAAAATCTCTATCGAGTCTTAGCTGTTGAGCAAACGATAATGCTGTACCATAGTTTCTGATTGCCTCTAACACAATCTCTCTATCATTTTTCAACTCGTTACTAGCCAGGCCCAGATAAGCTCCATTAATTTGTACTATTTTCAGTATAAATTCTCTATTGTTCCTCAATGATTCAGTGGCATAATGCAATGCTGTTTCATTTCTAGATTTTTCGTGTTGGTTATTGTCAATTTGGCAGGCCATCAACACAAGCTCAGCATCTCCTCTTAGATTAGTTGATAAATATTCTAGTGCTCTTCCTCCCGTTTTTCGAATAGACAATTCTGCTATTTCTCTATCATTTCTCAATTCTTCACTAGCAAACTTCAATGCCTCACTGTTGCCATAAGTGAGAGCACATTTTAATATTTCTTTATCATTTTTCAATTCATCCGAAATGTTTGCATATGTATCAGGATAATATTCCATTAATTTCTTTACAAAATATCTATCATTCCACAATCCTAACAAATCGGCATAAACTGATGGATTTTTAGCTTCTTCCAATATAGAATCTAATATAAATCTCTTATCTTTCACAATGTCTGGCATTGAAACTGCAAAGAAATAATCAAAATTAACTCCATGCTCATTTTCAAATATTTCCATAACTTGTTTTCCTTCAGAGATAATTTCTTCATCATCATATTCCTCATCAAAATCTTCATCTTCCGAATCATCATCCTCCTGAGCCAAATATAATTTTACAAGATTTTCCAAAGTTTCCCAAATGTAGAGTTGTTTATCTTTAATGTCTCTCATCTTGTTCATGAGAAAATGTGAAAGTTGGTGATTGTACTGATCTAGAACAATGATTGTTGCCATTTTTTTTAATTTTCGTATTTAATTTTCGAATGTTGTACAATCTTGAAGAATCAATGTTGGGTGATTTTAAAAACTTCAATTTCAGCAACCTGAAATGTGCTACTTCCAGCCAAATAACTTTTAGCTTCCTCACTTCCATATTGTAATCCAATTGGTAGCTCAAAAGTATTTCCAAAATCAGAACTTGACAATACAGTTGAAATGTCAAGGTCAACATCTCCAAATCTAGGTAAATAATTCTTACAAAGACAAATGGCATATTGTTTCTGATTTTGCTTAAAATTGAACTTTTCTAAATGATATTTTCCACTAAAATCTTTTACAATTTTAAAAATAAATGCAGATTCATCTGAAACATATTCACCTAATAAGGAATGTGGGGATTTCCAGGATCGAGAGGTAAAGGCACCAAATATTTGATTGTGTTTTGCTGATTTGATAATTGTCAATGTTGGTCCTTGTAAGTCACATTTCGAATGAAAATGTTTCGAATGGAATCCATCTCTAGTTCCTCTATACAATAATTGAGGAATTGCAATGCTGCAAGTATGGGAACATAATTCACTTGACACTGAACAATCACATTCGTTAATAATTATGGAAGAAACTAATCCAAAATAAACATTTGTTTTGATATTAGTGAGCGAGCATTTGTCGAAAATAATTCCACTCAAATCTTGTGATTGCAGATCAATATTATCAAATTGAATATTTGCAATATGTTTGTTTGAAAGTCCATTAAAATCAAATAAACATCTGTCAAATTTCAATCCGTTAAAATTTGACAAATCTTTCAAATTTCGTAAATCTGAATTCTTGATTGTGCAATTATTAAATGAATTATTGGTTGAGTGAAGAATAATTTTAAAATCAATTTCCTCAAATATTGATCCATTGAAATCGCATTCAATGAATTTACAATTTTGTAAAACTTTTTCCTTTGTAAAGTGAATTTGAATTTTGCATTTTGTAAATTTTGCATTTTCAAATTTAGATTTCTTTGTAATTGTGTTTGTGAAATTAACATTTTCAAAATTGGAATTTGAGAAACAAGCACTTAAAAAGTTTGAATCTGAAAAGTTGCAACCATTTGAATTACAATTAATGAAATATGACTTGGAAAAATCTAATTTTGACAGGTTACTGTTTTGTAATTGCACTTTCTCAAATGTTGTGGAAATAAACTTGGCTTCTTCAAATTTACATTGTTCCAAACATGTTTCCATTAAAAATGCATTAGAAAGTCAGTATTCTTCAAATTGGCGTTTGACAAGTTGCATTCACTCAATTCACAATTTTGGAAATTAGCACCTGCCAAATCACAATTACTGAAATCACATCCTCTCATCGTGCTTCCTTTAAAATTACACCCTCTTATATTCATTCCACTAAAATTACAACAACTCAATTTTGAATTTTCCAAATTTGTTTTCTGAAGAAGGAAATTCCTCATATTCACTCCATTCAAATTCAAACTCAAATCACCTCCAGCAAACACATTTGAAAGTCTAATCAAGTCAAGTTGTGAATTGAGTAATTGTTTTTCCAAATTTGTCAATTGAAATAATTGACAGGCATCAACGAGTCCATGTTTCATTTCTTTCAAATCAATAATTCCAAATCTTAACCAATCCAAAATGTGTTTGAATACGACTGGATCACAATTAATGAAATAAACATCATCTTTGAATGATGTACAAGGTGTTTGATATAGCGGATGTTGACCTGTCAACATTTTCTTGAATAAATTGTCAGGTTCTCTCTCGTTATGAAGTAAATCACCTAAGGAGACTGTCAAGATTGTTCCACCAACATTTAAAGGAATTGGTTTGTTGCTGGATTCGAATATTTCTCTTTGCAATTTTTCCTTTTCAAACTTTTCAATTAGTTTTTGTAAATCTTGATCTTTTGATTCAAATTCTTGAACTAGTTCAGCTCTTTTAACTTGAAATTCACTATTTGTCTGATTGATCATCTGTTCATGTTCTGTCTTGAATTTATTCATCAAATCTTGATATTTCCTTTCCAATCCAATTTTCCTTTTTTGAAATTCTTCTTCCAAATTAACTTTCAATTCCTCAACTTGTTTATAAGCATCCAACAGTGGACAATACCTTTCCTGATGATCTTTCAATTGTCCTCTCTGCACTCCACCCTTACACATCGAACATTGCACTTTCAATTCATCCAACTTGTTCAAAATATATTTGGGAACTGCCAATGAATTCTGTTTCAAATCATTTCCTCGACAAAGTGGACATTTATCAACTTTATCGATAATGCACTTGGAACAGAACATTTGACCACATTCAGAATGCATGATTGGATCAATGAATGGATATTTACAGATGGAACATGTTAAATCTTGATCAATATTGTGTAAATCGAGATAAAGTCATGGTTTGGTTGATTAGTTTCGGAATATTCAATTCTTGAAAATTCATCGTAATTGATTTGTTTTTCAGGGTTGGTAGATGAAATGGTTGGATTGTTGTAGTTCGAATCTTCATAAAACGTGCGAGAAAGTTTATCATTTGACAGTTGTGGTTGTTCAGACATTTTTTTTATTTGACAAGGAAAATAATTCTAGAACGTGACATGATGAACAGGTGAATAGGTTGAACAGGTTCTAAAGCAAGCTCTAATTTTAATCCAAACGTGATTTACCAAAAGTGATTTATTTTGCATAACTTTCGAATAAGAAATTAATGATTAGGGCAAAATAATTTAATTCCGATCACATTCAAATTCCGATCACTGGTGCAGCAATAAATTGTTGATTTATTTGAAAAGTCATTGGGAAGTCATGGCTCTTTCTCTCCACAATCAATACATAAGATGTTGGTAATCTCTTTTCCATTGATTGTTTCTGTTGATGGCATTGTACATGTTTTGGAATGGCATAATTTTTTACAAGTCGAACATGTCACCATACCATCATGATCGTCTTTAAATTTACATCCAGAGTAGCACCATATATTTTGTGATGATGATGCACTTGGAGAGGAGGTTGGATTTCTATCCATAGTATATGCTCACTTTGCATGGCAAGTACAATACATAGTACACATTTTTCCCGCCAATTTGCATTTACATGTATGATTATCCACAAGCATGATGACATGAACAAACCACACCATGTTGCTTCTGTTTCTTCAATAGGGTGTTTTGGGCACGAGTTTCGATTTAAGCTTTCTTCTTTGCTTCTCTAAGGGTCTTTCCTTCCTCTTTCTTTCTTTTCTGTTTTTCTTTTTCTGCTTTTTTTTCTAGTGCTGTTACCATATAGTCGTTGCGTGTTAGTACAAAGTTAGTTTTCACTCTGGTTTTTTCTTTGGTTTGTTTTGGTGGTTCATGTAATAAATTTCCAAATTTGGAAGGTGGTTTTTCATCTTGATTACTATTTTTGGAATGTTGAATTTTGGCAAGTGCTGACTTCTTATCAAGTGGTATAATACAAGCTTCTTTGAATCCACTAACAATATTATGATGGG